TGGTATATAATCCTTTTTAAAAAAATTACTTTTAAACTGTGGTGGGATATACATAATACGCATTGAGTGTGTTCACATTGTTGTGCAGCCATCACCACTATCCATCTCCACAACTTTCTTCATTTTGTAAAACTGAAAAACTACCCATTAAGCAATAACTCCCCATCTCCCCCTCCCCCAACCCCCTGGCACTCACACTTCTACTTTCTGCTTTACAAATTTGACTACTCTAGGTATATTATGTGAATGGGATCATACAGTATTTGTTCTTTTGTCACTGACTTATTTTACTTAAAACATAAATCATCTCAAAGGTCATCTGTATTATAGCATGTGTCAGAATTTCTTTCCTTTTTAAGACTAAATGATATTATATTAATATAGCATGTTTTGTTTATCTGTTCAGCTGTTGGTAGACACTTGAGTTGCTTCTACTTCTTGACTATTGTGAATAATACTCCTCTGAACATGGATGTACAAATATCTTTTTGAGTTTTTGCTTTCAGTTCTTTTGGGTATATACCTAGAAGTGGAATTGTTGGCCAGTGGTTTACGTTTTTTAATATGTGGTTGGATTAGCTTTGCTAGTATTTTTTTGAAGACTTTTGCATATATATATATATTCATAAGGGATATTGATATATAATTTTCTTGTGATATTATTGTCTGGCTTTGGTATCAGGGTAATACTGGCATCATAGAATGAGGTAAGAAGTATTTCCTCCTCTTTCATTTTTTTGAGAAGGATTGGTGCTATTTTTTCTTTAAATGATTGGTAGAATTCACCAGTCAAATCATGTGGTTCTGGGCTTTTCTTTGCTGGGAGTTTTATGATTACTGATTTCAGCTTCTTGTGTTATGATTTTATTAAATTAACATTTATTAGGTGGAGCACAGAGTGCTGGTTGGTGAGCCATGGTTCGACAACAGACCACAAAAGAAATTGAAATAGAAAAGGTTTTTACTTACAGGTCCTGGAGGAATTACAAGGGCACGCATTAAGGGGCCCCACAGGGAGATCAGGGCAGAGTGTAGAGAGAGGTAGGACCTGGAGTACGGTGCCTTTATTAGGTCTCTGGGTGGAGTGCTTTGGAGATCCTGGGCTAGAGCTGGATTTGTCAGTTCAAACCAAAAGAGTAGGGTTTTGGTAAGCTCACCAGGATTTTTATCTCAGGGGTGCTTAAGGCATACAGGCACTGGGAACCAGGAGAGACCATTGATCACAAGTCCTATCATTAATTCTTGTAAGCAAATTTACATTGCTTGTATCTCTCTGAACTGCTATTTAGGACATGTGGTTCCCTAAGAGGTCTAGTCAGTTAAAGGTCCTTGCAGGCCCCTTGGCCAAACAAAATGGATGCTGAGGCAGCAATACCAGGGAGTAGTTTAGCTAATCAATGACTTGACTTATCTCAACAACTTCTTGTAGGGCTGTTCAGATTTTCTATTTCTTCTTGAGTCATTTTAGAGAGTTGTTGTGTTTCCAGGAATTTCCATTTTATCTAGATTATCTGATTTATTGACATACAATTGTTAATAACACTACAAGTGTTCTGTAACACTTTTTATTTCTGTAAGGTTGGTAATGTTCCCATTTTCATTCTTGATTTTAGTGATTTGAGTCTTCTCTCTCTTTTTTTCTTAGTGTAAGCTTGAGGTTTGTCAATTTTGTTGATCTTTCAAAGAACTAACTTTTGGTTTGTTGACTTTCTCTATTGTTTTTGTATTCTCTTTCCTGGATCTCAGCTCTGATATTTATTAATTCTTCCCTTATTTTGGGCTTAGTTTGTTCTTTTTCTAGTTCCTTAAGGTGGAAGTTTGGGTTATTAATTTGAACTCTTCAGTACCTTTTTTTTTTTAATGTAGATGTTTACAGCTGTAAATTTCCCTTAGTACTTTTTCATTATATCACATATGTTTTGATATGTTGTACTTCCATTTTTTAAAAAAGATTTTATTTATTCATTTGTCAGAGAGAGTGAGAGAGAAAGAGCACAGGCAGGGGGGGCGGCAGGCAGAGGAGGAAGCAGGTTCCCTGCTGAGCAAGGAGCCTGATGTGGGACTCGATCCCAGGACCCTGGGATCATGACCTGAGCTGAAGGCAGACGCTTAACCGATTGAATCACCCAGGCATCCTTGTACTTTCATTTTTATTCACCTCAGAGTATTTAATAATTTTCCTTGTGATTTGTTCTTCGACCCACTGCTTGTTTAAGAGTATGTTGTTTGCTTTGCAGTTTGTGGATTTTCCATATTTCCTTCTGTTACTGATGTCTAGTTTCATTCCATTACGGTCAGATAAGATACTTTGTATGATTGGGGCACCTGGGTGGCTCAGTCATTAAGCGTCTGCCTTCAGCTCGGGTCATGATCCCAGGGTCCTGGGATCGGGCCCCGCGTCGGGCTCCCTACTCTGCAGGAAGCCTGCTTTTCACTCTCCCACTCCCCCTGCTTGTGTTCCCTCTCTCGCTGTCTCTCTCTCTCTGTCAAATAAAAAATCTTAAAAAAAAAAAAAAAGATACTTTGTATGATTGCAACTTTTAATAATTTATTGAGACTTGTTTTGCGGCTGAACATACGGTCCAGCTTGGAGAATGTTCCATATGCACTGAGAAGAATGTATATATGGTTGTGTTAAGTGGAACATTCTATATACGTCTATTAGGTCTAGTTGATTTATGGTATTATTCATGTCTTATATTTCCTTGTGTATCTTTTATATGGCTGTGCTTTCCATTGTTAGGTGGGATGTTGACATCTCCAGCTATTTCCCACTTTAGTTTTGTCAGTTTTTGATTCATATATTTTATTATATGTCATTAGGTACATATATGTTTATAACCATTTATATATTCTTGACCCTTTTTTCACTATACAATGTCCTTCTTTGTCTCTTGTAACATTTTTTGTCTTAAAGTCTATTTGTCTGATATTAGTATAGCCACTCCAGCTCTCTTTTGGTTACTGCTTACATGGAATATCTTTGTGTACTTTCATTTTCAACTTATTTGTGTTTTTGTTTCTGAAGTGCAACTCTTGTAGACAGCATTAAAACGAAATCCGTTCAGCCAATCTCTGCCTTTTAATTGGAGTGTTTAATACATTTACACTTAATTACAGAGACAGAAGGACTTCTGCTATTTTTGTTTGTTTCTTATATCTTTTTTCTCTGCTCCTCCATTACTACCTTCTTTTGTGCTATATGTTTTCTCATGTGATATTTTGATTTCTTTATCATCTCTCATACATACACTACAATGTATCTTTTAGTTATTTTCTTAGTGGTTGCCCTTGGGATTACAATCAGCATCTTAATTTATAATCATGTAGTTTAAATTAATACCAACTTAATTTTAATATTATACAAAAACTTTTCTTCTATATAGCTCTGAAGCCCCACCTCTATGTTATTGTCATGTTACATCTTCATAATCGTGTGCCTATCAAGATTTATGATTGTATCATGTATTTTTCTAATTGATTGATTTTTTAAAATGCTAAACCAATATTGTATTCTTAGAATAAATTTGGTCAATAATGGTGTGTTACTGTTTTATCTTTATAATATATTACTAGTTCAATTTGCTAATATTTTCCTAAGGATTTCTTTGTGTTCATGAGGGATATTGGTTTATAAGTGTGTGTGTGTGTGATGTCTGTGTCAAGTTTTAGCATCAGTAATGTTGACCTTATGAGTTGGAAATTGTTCTTTTTTCCTCTGTTTTATTTTGTGTGTGTGTGTGTGTGTGTGTGTTAAATTGATGTTATTTCTTAAATGTTTGATAGAACTCATCAGTGAAGTCATCTGGACCTAGACTGTTTTGTGGGAAGCTTTTCAATTATTTATTCACTTAAAAAATAGATATAGGATTATTCAGATATTGTTTCATTTCAATTTTGGCATGTTGGATTTTTTTCAAGGAGGGTGTCTGATGCATCTACATTGTCAAATATGTTAGCATAAAGTTGTTCATATTCTCCTAATAACCTTCTAATGTCTGTGGCAATGTAATTAAAAAAAATGCTTATATTAGATTGTAGCAAACATTTTATAGTGCTTATTACATACATTTCACTTTACAAATAATACTCTTTTAATTCCCACAGTAATTGGTGAGGTAGATAATATTATCTCCATGTTCTAGATGAAAAAACAAACCAAAGTTAAACTAAGGGAGTTAAGGTGCCTTGCTCAAGATCACAGAACTGGTGTATTAAGGGCTTAAATTATAATCCAGGTGGTCTGGGTCCAGAGTCCTTTTTTCTTGACTCCTATTTGCTTTGTATTTCTTAAATGACAGTTACCTGTTCTGTTCTTCTTATGGAATTTTGCTGTTTTCTCTCTGGTGCTCCCACCACCTTTATTCCGCTAGTGGAAATATTTGCTTCTGGTATTACTACTTAGAACTTGGAATTCCTTTCCCCATGAAAACATTACATGCGATGGCTACACATACTTGAAATATTATTGTTTTTTTTAAGGATTTATGTATTTATTAGAGAGGGAGAGGGAGGGAGCAAACGGGAGGGGGGAGGGGCAGAGGGAGAGAGAGAATCTCAAGCAGACTCCCTGCTGAGTGAAGAGCATGATGTAGATGCTCCATCTCAGGCCCTGAGATCATGACCTGAGCCGAAATCAAGAGTTGGATGCTTAACTGACTGAGCTACCCAGGCGCCCCTTGAAATATTATTGTTAATACTTGTCTTCAGTCACATAATATGTCAAAAAGACTTCTGGGGCTTCCCTGGGAAGTTCACTACAATTTCACTACAATGAAACATGGTTTCTCTGGGAAAATACTAGAAGATATTTATTTTAAATTCACTTAAAAGGTGAAACTTCAGTTATATGGAAATTTTACTTTTTGGAATCCCTTAATGATTTGAATTTACTGAGGTGTTTCTAAATCATAATTTTCAGAAGACAAACAATAAGATTAATTTTTACACATATTTTATTTTGTTTTACTTTCATTAATTTGCTGATTAATGTCTTTCAGGGTTATTCAAATGCTCAGAAGAATATTCTTCTTCAGGTGGATCAGAACTGTGTTCGCAATTCTTATGATGTCTTCTCTTTGCTGCGGTAAGAAACTTCTTAGACCTCCTGCATTTTCTAAAGAATGTTCTTCATTTTGAGTTTGTGACATTTCTGTGTGAGGAATCGTATGGGAGCTTTAGAAGCTGTTATTCAGGCTTAACATTTTTTAGTGAGAGCTTCATAAATTTTGTAGCTACAGTGATTTAAGTTTATCTCTTTCACAAAGCCGTTGGAACGCCATTTCCTTTCTCTGGATAGTGGGAGAGAATGACTGGAAGCCAGTGATCTTAAAACAGGGACATGAGCCGTTTCTGGTTTTCTGTACTATAAAGAGCAGCAACCAGAGGTACAAAATTTAGACTTATCAAAATCTTAACAACTACAGCATTACTAGAAAAGCCCTCCAATAGCCCCAGACATGGCTTAGAGTTTTGACCTGCTCTTCATCTAAAAGAATCATGTTTGGCAAGGCAAAGGAGCTTTGCATAAATCTCATGCCCAGAGGCTTAACTAACTGCCTTAACTCTATATTTTCATAATGTCTGGGCTTAATTTTGAAACATTTCTATATTTGTTTTTAATTTTCAATGTGGTAGATCATCAAGGACATTTTCTCAAGAGGCAGGCAACCAAAATAAATGCAGTTCAAAATAAAGGTAACAGTGACACTCAGCCTATGTTCACCCTACTCAGACAGATGGTTCATTGAAATTTGATTTTGGCAGTATTTTTCTAATGTTTACGTAACACATCATAAATTTCAGACCATTAGACATCCTCAATATATCTACTGGAGGAAGAGTCCAGAAGGATGGTTGGACTCTTGTCCAATTGGATGATTGTTTATTTTATAAACATTATGAAATGGGCCTTTTCTTTGCAAATCTTGAATCTTATTATACATGATGATAAAGTTTGGTCACATGGCCTGTGTAAATTGCTCTTAAGAGACAATGATTTCAACTAAAGTAACCACAGACATTTGATGACTTTTGATTCTTATCTGAGAGGTACTTTCACTTTGACTTCTTAGGATATGTAAGAGAATGGACAGGATTTAGTAATTGGATGGTGGAGATAGAAAGCAGGAGGTGTCAAAATATATAACTTGTATTTTTTTGAGTCTATTCAGTTTGAGGCTACATTGAGTTTTAAGTATTGAAAAGAGCAATGTACAGAAATAGTTCGAAATGTGAGTAAGCCACTAATATTTCTTGACCTATTTTCCTCATGAAATGAGGGTATGGATTTTGCTATTTTAAAGATACTGTCCAAGTGTGAGATGGTGTGATCTTATTAGAGAAATCAGTGGAACCAAAAGAAAGAGAAATATGAAGTCAGTGAAAAGAGGAGGACTGGGGAAAGACAGCATCATAGAAACTAAGGGAGTAGAGATTCAAGCAGTGTTGAATGCTCTGTGACAAGACAGGAAAATATGAACTGAAGAAATGCTGTAGGATCTTGAGAAGCAATGTGGTACAATAGAGAATGCTTTGGTTAACTTGACCCTGACTTCAATTGTCCCTGGTTTATCCAAATTCATTTAACTTCTCTGATTCTTCTAAAAGGTAGAGGCAGTAATATTATAAATTTGTGTAGCTTACAAGCATTTCCATATTTATTATCTTACACTCTGAAGTTTTTTGTATTCAGACATCAGGGATCAGCCCTTGTCTTCAGTGTAGAAGCTGAGGCCAAGAGGCATTACAGGATTTATCTGAGAGCACACAGCAAGTAAGAGCCAGACTGGAGGTGGGTGTGAAGTTTTCCCGCAAGCAAGTTTTGCAGATCCTTTTCAGAGTCTCACTTACCTTCCTAGATTGGTGGTTATAAGGTGCGCATAGCATAATGACAGAGAAAATTTTCTGAAAATCACAGAGCCCTCCATAAATTCAAAGTTATTGGGGGAATTTGGTAGTTAGTGCTCAATTATTTAACATTGATTCTTGCAATGATATGTCTCTTGGGGGTCTCATTTCTAGGATGCTTTCCAGATTCCTCACGTGTGTTAGCAGTCTGATTTGCCTTATTAACAGTGGCCTTGTCATTAGCATTGTGTAAATCATTATAGCTGGTAACATAGATGTACTCTTTTGAACCAGATCAAGTGTCCATTTATCAACCAAATTACCTGAGCCCAGAGAGTTACTCTGGAACTAGAAACTTGACATTGTAGTAATCAACATTAATGAGTAAAATGGAACTTTCTGTGATAATTCTGTTAGACATCAGTAAGGAGTAACCACCATCTATCTGTTTGCTATATCAGAAGCTCTTCTTTTCTCACAGTTCTTGGCATGATTTATGCTTGTTGGGAAACGTAATTTTGTGCTGATCAATTTTGTTTAGTTTCCCTTCTTTAACTCAGGCAACATTGTACCTGGATGGGAGTAATTTTTAAAAATATACCTTTTCCCTTGATCTTTTTTTGGTGTGTGAAATTGTTACTTCTTGATCTGTAATTTTATGTGAAAACATATAGAGTCTGAATTCTTTAATATCACTTAACTTCACAAAATTCTGTGCCATTTGGAATCAGGACTAGAACCCAGGTCTCTTGATTCTGTTTTTTGAGAGTATATTCTAGTTAATAACTTTCACTGTGTTGTGCCACTAGGATGCATATTTCCTTCCACTTCCTATAATGTGAATGTTACAGAAAAATAGGAAATCTTGACTAGGCAGGGATTTTGCAACACCTACGACCAGAGCATTAGAACCCCTTCAGGTGGATGTGTTGTACCATTTTGTAAGAAAACAGTAACCTGAGGTTTTATTCAGATTTTTCTGCCAGTAGTTAAGAATGTAGGCTGATTTCAATGTTACCAAAGTAATAGCAGCTCTTTCCAAAGTTACATTCAGTGTGTGTGGTGGTAATTACATTTTGCTTCTTTAAGCCTTGGGAATTCCTGGATTAAGGGTTAGTTTTCATGTAAGTAGACATTTAATTAGGAGCCACTTTACTCCTTACATTTGACTCATTACCCTTAAATTAGGATGTTCACCACAAGGTGTCAATGTTGCTCTTTAACTGGCACCTGAAATTTCATTTATTTTATGGTTTTAAAGTGAGAAAAGTTGGATTATAAATTACAAGTGAGCATTTATTTTTAGAAGTTAACTTTTTTTCCTCTTTTTTTTTTTTTTAAAGATTTTATTTATTTATTTGAC